CCAAGCTCACCCTGAACAATGTCATTTGAGTCCGGACCATCAACGAAGAATTTTGGGTTTTCATATATCTCGGTTACCCGTCGAACATCTGGGGGATCACCCAGCCCAGAGGATAACCCTTGCAAGCATCGTTTTTTGTTATTCCCTAGATCGAATTCAAGGTCTCTGACAAAAGAGAGATTGTCAAGTTTGGCACATTTCTCCCATATTGCGATCGAGAGAGAGAGGACGCGTCATACCTGAACTTCCGATTACCAGCACGACATTCTTTTGCAATACGGTCCACCTTGACCTTGCAATCTTTCAAAGACTTTTCGAGTTCAGCCGTTACAAGAAGGCCAACCTGATTTTGAGTTGCTCCGATAACTGTTGTCTTGCAAGCTTTGGTTTTAGGACTGAGGGCAGATACACTTGACGCTCCAGAGACGCCGCTGATCCCATTTATCAAGCTCCCAGCTGCATTGGTAAGTTCCATATCGTGAACGAGCTTTGCTTCACTGTCTTCCGTGAGTAGAACCGGTAAAACCACCATCTCGATACTCTTGTACCGCGGAAATGGGAACTGCACAATCACCAGGAATGTGAAATGGGAACAAAGGAAGATCGTGCAGGATGCGCCCCTTATGGATTTGCGCTCATCTTTTCTAGTGGGCTAAAAATTGTGTACACCATCAGAACGCCCATGTCAAGATTTGTGGAGGCTGTGCCTGCCGGTACATATCTGGAAATACGAAATGACCCTTCAATCTCAGCACAGCCTAATTATTCTCATGATGTCCATATAACAGATAAGCACCCATAGGAATATCCGCATGTTCTTCCATATCGGCTGGCGAAGGTGTTGTCCTTCATGTGATAAAAGGTATCCCTATCGCTTGTTCTACACTGCCTCTTACGACACTAGGCAGGGTCACCCTGAACACCAAAAACTCATTGTTGACATCAAGTCCTGCGTTGAAGGGAACACCCAAGGAAACTCCGTGAGTGCTTATGAAATCGTTATCCGACTAGGATTGAATCGCATGTCAACCCACACTGAAGAAGCAAGAGAGAAACAGACGAACGGCTGTAAACAAGAAATAATCGTCTGGAAATGCTGGATCGCCTGCAGGAGCTAAGGCAAGTGATTCCCATTTGGCATCAATCAAGGTTTCGTCATCCGGAGAACCTGGGAAAAGACGAGTGAATTTAATAGTTTTCTGCATCCGCTAAGAAAGATTTACCGTTATGAAGCCCAAACCTTGCCAACTGTGTTGAATCTAAAAAGTTGATAAAAGAAACATACGTGGCTGCAGTAATACTCTTGTCAAGTTTCCCCTTCTTAGCGATCGGGCTCGACGCGCTATCGAATTTTGATCCGTGAATGTCTGTCGCCTTCGCAATCGAAAATAAATCTGCTTGCCTAATGGCAAAAGATCAAGCATCAGGTGTATATTCATGTATGAGAGCAACCAAAAACCTGACTTGTACGCAGACTTGTTGTCATCCCCTCCACGGCCATCGCCATCTCGAGACAATGCCAAGAATATGTTTGGACTAACAAAATGGATTTCGCTACATGCCTCTGTGTTGCCTTTCGAGCTTTGCGGAAGCGGAACGACCCACTCCCCAACGAGAGGCGGGGTTACAGCGGAGTTAGAGACGTCGTATGCCAATAAACGGGTAAATCGAGAGGTGCTCTTGTCATCGCCACCATCCTGAATAGTAGCTGACTGGAGCATCGCATACAGGGTATTTGTTGAGGGATCAGCAGTGAGGCCTTCGAACCCTAGATAGATATCATGCCCAGGTCAATGGGGAGCTTCTGACTGGGGTTTTGTTATGGACCTTGATTCGCTGCCCGTCCCGTATCTGGATCGTCCACCGAAGTGAAGTCCAAAGTTCCAGAAGTAAAAGGTAAGATGGCGTTGGGAGGTTGAATCGTCTGTAACAAGTGCCCATCGGCGCTGAATCGGTAGATATATGGACCGTACTCGTCACTGATCCAATAACTGCATAGGCATATTTGAAATTCTTGCCGTACTTGCAAAAATACGAGTACAGGACTCACGATCCATCTGCATTATTCACGATGCCTTCTGCGTCTATAACAAGATGGGGCTCAGAAGTAGATGCAATTGGCATCTGGGGATCAGATGTAGGTATCTGGGGAAATCCGCTCTGTGCTGGTCGGATAGCATTTGGGTCCAGACCGCTCGTTTTCGTGTTGTTCCTCTCTACTTCGAGCGTGGTGTTCACATAGGAAATCTTTAAAGTCTGCTGTGCTGACGAGAAGTTGAGATTTGCAGAACTGGCATATGGGGCTAGTGTGAACTGGAGCTCATGTCGGCGGGCTTGATAGTCAACTGTCCCATCCCTGAAGTTCAATTATATCTAGGCCGATGTCACAAAAACCGATAATTCGACGCACATATTAAAGCCTCGGTCAGGGTGGACAACTAAGGTGCCCGTGAAAGTTCCGTCATCCTGAGCGGACCATGTGCCACGTTTAAACGCAATCGCGCTTCCAATTCCTCCAATGGTATCTCCAGTCGACTCGAGGAAATCGGACGGGATGAGCCCAAATCCGATAAGACCCTGGCTCCCAGTCTTGAGTTCACTCATTCACTTCGAGGTATCGACCTAACAGCTTACCTTGTTGACATATGTTACACCATCCAAAGACACAGAAACTGTTGCAGCCGCTCTAAAGGCCGATTGCACAGCTGCTGTCGGGGTCGGTGGAGCGCAGTATGCACTGTCCAACAGGAATGAAGCAAAGAGCGATAGAGCCAACAGATAAATCATGTTCACAGGGATGGCGGTTTCTCGTTAAGACCTATAGTTTCTCTAGCGATATACGTTCATAAGTAAGTACAAGGTGACAAGGTTCACGATTAAGAAGCAAGGTGCCACCACGCGAGGGGAAATGAAAGGCAGGTAAAAATAGCACTGTCCGTGTATGCATGGCAAACGTGTCAGAAATGCCTTGACGATGCACGCCGAGGGTGGCATGCGGCAGGTTCAAACGTTGGAGGCGGGTCGCATCCTACTCCCCACTGTCTTAGTGTAGCACCAGTGCCAGTCCAGGGCTAACCAAAGACCCGCAAGATTTGACCGTGAATGACCGCAGCTTAAGTGTACTCGAGTATCATGGATTTTGAGTTTCCAGGCGTTATTCGACAGAAAGAAAGCGTGTTTCATTTTTTCAGATCATTAATCAGAGAGCTTCCCACGTTAAGAATTCTTGTTCCACTTGACCATGATTGCTTTCAAACAGCAAGTTCTTCATCGAAAAGTTGAGTCTTCCTCCTCGTCTCGTCACGTATGGAATTCTCTCCGCTCTACCCTCGGATTCGTTCTAAAGTTTGAATATCTACCCCAGTGCCATGGCCTATTCACACGGCTGCCAAAGTTATGATTGCAGTTTTGATTTTTCTCAGGGATTTGTTTTCTTACTGGTGGGAGTCTCGAAGCGCAACCCTCTCTGACAAATCCCTACCCCTACGTTGGGCTTATAAGACTTGCGCCCCGACTCAGCTTACATTCGTTATAAGCAATGGAACTTGAGAAACTGCTACAGACCCACTTCGTCCATTGCCTTTTCTTCGCAATTTTTTTCGTCGCTGGGTTAGCATGTAAACCGTCACCTCAACGAAAGCTCTTCTTCCCATGCCTCTTAGCCGTCTACACGGCCATTCTTGTCTACACCCCACGCGTTCGTCTGTCAATAGGAGCAGAATACCAAATTGGGTTGACAACATCCATATGGCTCGCCTATGCACTCAACCTCGTCATCCTCAGCGAACCACAGGTCACACTCCGACGAAAAGGCCAGACGCAACCTGCTCATCAGCTATCAGGCTTCCGTCGAGTCGGTTGGGCAATAAATCTCATCAACAATCAACGTGGCGTAAATTGGTCTTGTGAAGTACCAAATTTGCGCCGCTCCCCACTGCCTCGTTGGGCATTTGTTGGATCTCAGCTTCGTTGGGCAGTCACCTTCTACTGTATCAATGATTTGTTGTCCTTCCTTGCTAAAACCAATCCGGCATTTCACATGGGCGGTAAACGTATGGGAGATGGCGGTTATCTCTGGCAGGCTTGGAATGTTGCACTGTGCTGGTCAACTATTGCAACGTACATGCAACTCAACCATGCCCTGGGTTCGGCCTTTGCAGTCACCTCTGGCTTGTCAGATCCCAGTGATTGGCCTGCGTGGTTTGGGCCCTTAAAGGAGACAGCGTCGATCCGGAAATTCTGGGGGTATGTCACCTTTTTTGCTGCTGTCGCAACTGGAGCTATTTTGACGTCTCATTTTCAGGCAAACCTGGCATCAAGCAATTCGTCGCGTGAGTTCAAGCGACACGTATATCTGTATAAGAATCATAACGTACTATACTTTGACTGACACATCCCCTTAGGCTGTCTCGACTCCCGGAAAGTTCATTGCACGAGATTGCCTGCAATTCTCTGCGGGAACATTGTTATCATCATACACGCAATTGTACATCGCCTTCTTCCTGTCTGGCGCGTTCCATGGTGCGGCAGATTGGATTGTTGTTCGGAACTCTGCTACATTCAACCGGAACATTGCCTTCTACACGGTGCAAGCCCTGGCTATAACACTCGAAGACATGATTATATACGTTGGGAAACGTTTCAATATCGGTCGACTGCCATTGTTGCCCTATATGTGGGTTGCAATTTGGATGACATGGAGCAGTCCCATTTGGCTCGAAACACTGATCGAAGGAGGAATGGGGGACTTTGGACCACCTGTTTCCTTCATGAGCTACATCACAGAAAAGTACGCACTTCGATAACATCTTCGATAATGAAATCATTATTCCTATCTTCGCTGCTCGACGCAGACTCAAGAATAGTTTTTATCATCAGTTATTGTGGCAAGTTGACCTAACTGTATAAGTACATGTCCGTCGTGCCGAGGATGGAAAAAAAAGTGTTTGATACTCCCGTTGCCGAGTTGCTTCGTGAAAGAGTTAACCGCACACGCTAGTAGCTCACCGCGAGGGTCGAACTCGCAGCCTTCAGATGACTTAAAAGTCTGACGCTCTATCCAATTGAGCTAGGCAAGCCGTGGAGACTACTTGTCAAAAACGCATTGTATCAAGGTCGCATTCCTAGCGCTTGGGCGTTTATTTTCTTGAACCGAAAGAAGTTAGATTTTCGAACTCCACAACGTCAATCCGAAAGGTCAATCCGATACGGTCGCTAGGATTTCTGAATCTCCTTTATATTGACTTTTGTACAACTCTGTACGATCATGTCCATCGCAATGGAATCCAGTCCAGTCCAATCTCTGCCGCTTCTTAACAAGTCAGCCTCATCGTTCGCTCCCCTGTTTCACCTACGTCGCCCTTCTTCTCCCTATCTTTCAAACTCCTTTCATCGATGGGGACTATGAATATGGATCTAGATATGCTCCTGGGCTTGGAAAATCTTGATAAAAGTGCTACAGCTACTTCGTCGGACTACAGTCTGCCATTGGACTCTGGCTTCATTCAAGGTGCTACCTCAGCGAATCACAGGAACACGTGGCCTACGATTAACTTGAACGAACCCAACCATGGCCTCTGGGACCCTTCTCCTCGTCCATACCGTACCAGATCATGGCAGGAGGGGGATCCGAGCCTGTTTGGCTTCCAAGTTCGCGACTACTCCAACGGGTCTTCTGGCCACGCTCGAAGTCGTCGGGATTCAGGCGTAGCCTTCTCTAGTACTTCGTCTGACGCCGCTCGTTCTTCTTTTTCCAAGGATTCTGGGACTTATGACCTGCCAATAGGCCCACAAGGTCTTTCGTCGCCTACTCAGTCGCGCGAGGATGCTCAGTGGCAGATGTACCTTTCCGCGTCTTTATCGAACCCCCTCAATTCTCTTGACATTGCTAACGGCACTCCTTCTGCGAACTCTTACGCTCACCATGAACAATACGATGTACCTGAACCTTTGCCCTCAAATTCCGGGTATTTCCCCTCCTCGAGTCAAGGACACTCGACGAATTATCTGGCGTCTGATCAAGTCCACGATCTTTTTGGGTCTTTCTCCTTTAGCCCAATTATTGAGGACTTTCTTCCAACTGAAAGCATTCCACCTATGCACGTTCACGAAGACTTGGTATATGCTCAACCTCGTAGCGACAAAACCGGAAACGCGCCAAACCCTAGCACTATGTATACATCCTCCTTGCTTGACCTGAGCCCTTCCAAATATGACCTTGGCTCTGCCCGACTCGCCTCCCTTGAAACTTCTATCTGCTCGAAACAGGCTCCACCGTCGTCACCACTATCGCCTCCCTCTCGAGGTCGTTCTCCGATACTATCAGGGATGATTCGCTCTCCCACCTCCCGCGCAGGTCGAGGGTTGAGCGGCTGGGGTGGTACCCACCACGTCAAACTATCCTCCTTTGGAAAAACTGGGGTGACTCAGTACCGTTCTAACTCCGTATCTGGTGATGTAGACCTCAGGCTGCCGAGCGTTCCCTTGCCGCAGTCTGTAAGCCCGGACAGCACCGAGGAGTCGTCTCTCAACTCTGATAGAGGGCTCAAACGACTTCGACACCCAGAGACATCGCCAAAGCGAGCTACAAAGACTCGACGTATAGTCAAGCCGGTGGTCAATCATACAGACGACGATTGTGCCGGCGATGACAGCGATTCAGACGACTATAGACCGTCGAGATCTCCTTCGGTCGACCTTTGCAGATCGCTTTCCCCAGAATCGATGTTCCCCCTTGAGTTCGAACGGGAAAGTGGTGCCAAATCCGTCCCATCCAAGAGAAGGCCTAAAAGAGGTAAAGGGAAAGCGAAGGGAAGCGCAGCACTCGCATTAGCCGTCGTTAGCCAGATGGGAGCTACCGGCACTCAAAACTCTTCCGAAACGTCGACGCTTGGAGGTCAGGATGACGCCCGCGACGATAATAGGAGACAATACGGTGTCCGCAGGAGGAAGAACCACCCCATCCCGCTGCCCATCCCTGTTCCTAACTTGAACAAGAAAAGCCGCGGCCGGAAGGTACCTTACGTAGCGAATGTAACCGCTGGTGATGCTGCACTGACGCCGACACCGCCTTTGGAGGGCGCTAAGAAAGAAGACACTGACACGGAGGTCAGCTTCGGAGATAGTCGATCGAGAAGCACCAGTCGCATCCGAAGGAAAGTAGCGCCGCCTCCATCTGCGAGCCAGGATGCTGGTGAGAGGTCCTTTGTATGCGTTGTACCTGGTTGTGGCAAATGTTTCGTACGGGGGGAACATCTCAAGCGACATGTGCGAAGCATTCATACGTATGACAAACGTGAGTATCATATTGAGTCTGTTCGACGTTATATAACTCATCATTCGAATGGAATAGCACATCCTTGTCCATTTGAAGGTTGCGATAAGTCGTTTAGTCGACGCGATAATCTGGGACAGCACGTCCGCATTCATCTTCAGTCTTAGCATTGTTTTCTTGTCTGCAATTCTCGTTTGCTCTAAAGTCGTCTGTAATGTTTTTCCTTCTGCTTTTATATATCGATAATTCGCATAGTACAGTTGTCCTCGTTTATCTTATGCTTTCTAATGATGTCAATACAACACTTTGTCTCGTACCATTGCTCTCGCTTCACGCCAGTCTTCACACATAAGTACTGATCCGCATCGGCATCGGACCATCGTAAAATATATATCTCAAGAGCAACCTCACTCATATTCAAACAGTAATTGGGACAGCATGTCCGCATTCATCTTGAGTTGAGCAGTGTTTTATTCGTTCAAATGTTTTTTTTTGCTACCATGTCGTCTGTAATGGTGTTAAAGGTCTTACGCTCTACATGCATAGTATTCTATATTGAGTTGTCCTAGATTTTCTATGCTCGTGCCAAAAAAGTGCAGGTCTCAATACAACATTCCACCATCATCGCTCCCTTCTCCTTTTTCGCCGATAAGCACAAAATTCCAAGTGACCTTCATTCTATAAGCCAAGTAAGCACTCGCACAACATCACCTCCTGTCCCCCTTCTTCAGCCGCCCACAAATAAAAGTGGGCGCCCCCTTTGCAGTATACACCCTCAACCCAACAACAACCGCATTATCATCCTCCAACCCATCCCCCCCTCCATCTCCCATCCCCAGATCCAACGGCAGCGGCGGCGGTGGGGGCGGCGGCAGACCATACCCCCCGAGGGGCATGGGCGCGTACCTTGGCGAGCCGGGCGCGGAGCTCATAGGGGACACGGGGGGGAGGCCCGCCCAGCCTGGCTCCATCGTCGGTCCGCCATTCATGCCAGGCCCCGACCCATAGGCGTTCAGCTCCGGTGGTTCGCCGTTATATTGGCGTGGCTGGGCGGCGGACGAGGAGGAGTGGTTTTTGGAGACGACGGTGATGGTGCTGGTGGTGGTGGTTACGGTGATGCTTTCGCCTGGTTGGACGGAGCCGTAGGTTTTCAGTGCTTCGGTGGTTGATTTGGAGGCTTTGGCGTAGTCGGATGTTAGGAGGGTGTGGATTGGGGTTGGGAGGTGTCTCTGGCTGAACAACAGGAAATGGTTAGTGGGATGGTGCGTTAAGAGCTGGGGGCTGGTACTTTGGTTGATAATCTGTTGGGGGATCGCATAAGCGTGTAGCTAGCAAAGAGACAGGGGACGTACTGGATGCGATGGATTGTCCTTTGGCTCGTTGCGTCATTATTCTTGCCAACTTCCGTCTATCCCAACCCCCATTCAAGCCCTTCCTGAAATAATCCTATCCCAAAATCAAAAACCCAAACCTCACAAGCAAACCATCACACCGACCTTATCACGCACAGGCGCCGGATCCAGCCTCGCCTGCCCGAAACCGAAAACATAATCCAAATCCACACATAACAATTACAAAAACAGAGAACGCACTAGAACCACGTAATCCCCCGCCTCCAAATCTAACTCAACGCTCACCCCCCGCGTGTAGAAGAATGAATAGGACGATTCGGCGAGCGGCTCCGTTTCGCCCTCCTTCGCGAGTATGAAGTCGAGGTTCCAGATACATGGGCCTTGGATGTCTTTGAAATACCGGGTGTTGATTTTGGAGAAGACGATGATGGTGGGCGACGCGACGGGGAGGGAAAACGTGACTGGACGCGTCGTGAGTTAGAGGAGAGGGCTGGGGGAGTGGAGAACGTACAGCTGATGTCGCCGAAGGACCATGAGGACATGTTGGGGAAGGACTGTGAGACGTGGAGCCACTGCGAAGACATCACCCAACTATCATCGAAGATTAACGTTCGCTGAATCTCCTGCCACACGGTCAAGAAATCCTTATCTACATCGCGCAACAAACCATCAACACACTCCTCATTCAACAACCACAGATGCGAAACTCACACTCCATCACAAACTGTCCCTTCCCCCCGAACGTATGCCCCAGCTCCGGCAACACCTCCAACCACTCCTTCGTCCACTCCTTTGACCCATCCGCCCACGCTCCATCCCACCCCGCCTCCCCCCACGGATCGCGCAGCACGACAAAGCGCCTTCCCCGTATCTCGACGGCCCGCACGACAGAGTGCGAGAGGTTCCCTACGAGGCCGTCGACGGCGGCGTTTTTGACGCCGCTGCGCTGCCCGGGGAGGGTTTTGAACCAGCACCCGAAGAGGCGGTCGTGGTTGGCTTTGATGAGCTCATCGTGCCAGAATTTGTCGGGGTCTAGGATGTCCTTTGATCAGAGTCACGTCAGTACCACGGAGGTTAATGCGACAAGAATACCTTGCTTAGAATGAGATTCGAAACACCGCTGCGAAAAGTATGAATTCCATCCAAACCAAAAGCAAAACAAACTCCTACCCAGTCATATCCTCAATCGCATCACACGTCCGCCCATACATCACACTCGCATAGTCCCCATGCAACTTCGCATATGCTTTCTCCACAATTGGCACCCAGGTGTCCCCGCTCGTGCTTGGGCGCGCAAAATAGAGCGAGTCCGCGCCGCGCCGTGCGGTATCGTTGTATTTGTCTTTTTCGTAGTGGTATAGTTCTTTCTCGACGCTGCTGAGTTGTTCGTATTTGGGTACGCGCGTGAACAGTAGGCTGTGGGTAGCGGGGGTAGGTGTTTAGTATGGGAGAT